GCGACCTCTAGAAGGTACCTATTAATAAGTAACTAGAAACGTCTTTTAAGCAAGATTATGTAGCTACTTAATTAACGAGACAAACCCATAATACATATTAGTCTGGTTTAGGTAAGTTTAAACCTTGTAATAAAATTCAAAGTTATGTTAATAAAATCAATGTTAAACTTCGAACTTGAACGTCTCTTCTAGTTATCTAGTGTGAAGGTCGGAGGTAGCTCGTTCTTATTTTAATTAATATTGGTGTAAGGATTTACAAATATTAATTAAAAACTTAGTAACATGCGTTACTTCACAAAAACCTTGTTCCGACTGTAATATCTGATTTGGTGCAGTCATAAGAGATACGTACGTACATACATTATATTTTATGAACACATGATCTAGAAATAGAAAGCCTTTTGACTGACTTTTTCCGCCTTGGGTTAGGCAAGAGGGAGTGTCAGGCTCTTACTAAAATACTGACTAAAATCCAGCCTGTTCTACTCCTGCTCTTCGAGCCGGAATCCCGACAACGCGTTTGGTCTTCCGTGCCTAGTTTGTGATTTTATCCTAAGGTTGGGCATATCATTACCGGGGTGTTAGATTTCGTAATGAATGATGAAAGTACAGAGTTTGAAAGGGTGCTCGGAATTAAGTAATAGTTTAGCTTTCTATGTAGCATAACAGCAATATCTATGTTATCTTTATATGAACTTGTATATAAACTAGTTATATACATCATAGTTTAACGGAAGATAAACATGTTACATTGATTTCATAAGTAATAGCGCTATAGGTCAAATGTAATATCAAAACGATTGCGTTAAATAGACTGACATAACACTTAGATAACGTAATATGTATTTATATTTACAAACAATATCTTTGACCTTCTGAGTGACTAGATTGCAACCGCGAACAAATATTTTTGTATATAAAATGTAACACGTGACTTTTGCTAGATTTGTATGTAGGTACATAATCTAGACTGGTTTCAATAATTTTATAACTTATAATGTATGTATTAAGACTTGATTTTCTGGTGCACGTTATTATTCCAAGAATTATTTAGGCACCTTTATTAATTCTTAAAAAGTCAGTGTCCGGTTTCAGTGTCTGAATAACTAATACAAAAATAAATTAGAATATAGAATGCATAAACTCTGTGTCATAATTTATCAGGTAATTAGATACTCATATGAGTTGTAATACCAAACATACAGATCATCCGACGAAGACAAACATAAAAATGATGCTTTCTCTCTTTCACAATCGATATTTTTTATTTAATTAACGCACTCTCAACATTCGTAATATAATCATTGGCACAATCGGTCGACTATTGACGAAACTGGGTGGCGAACTCGTGGACTTTCGCTTCGGACAACCGCAGAATAATATTAGACATGCGTAAGTACGCGATTAGAATACCTATACCTACGTGATTCTTAGTTAAAACGTATTGTTATCGAACGTGACGGTTTTCGCTGACGTAGCGTATCGATAGATCGAAAAGATAACGCTTATGTGGACGTATTAAGAGTTATGTAAACAATGTCATAGTCATATGTAAATCGATCGATACTTTTGCTATGAGCATTCGATGTCGTTATCAACAACACGCTTTAGTTTTATCGACAATGCTATATACAATAGAAAATAGGAAAGTACTTTATGACCAATATAAAAATTACCTAACTTCTACAATTGTATTTCATAAGTTCTTGTAGACAAATAAAATTAAATAATAAGTTTTTGTAGACAATAAAATTAAGCGCTACGCATTTTCGTAGCCGCGTAGCCCGTAGTCCAGTAGCATAAATAAAGGCAGAAACTAACTTACGCAACAAAACCCTTTTTTACTTACATTTACCTACATAAAACGGATGGTACACTAAAGTTGTAATTCGACGGTAAAGTTGGGACATTTCAAAGTTATTCGATGTCGGTGTTTTACTTACTCGTAACTTAGTATTAAGTCCCTTCGCTTATAAACTTTGGTAACTTGTGATTTACTCTTCGGGACATATGGTAGATATAATTTTGTGAGTATTTTGCGCACTATTGATCGAATAAATAATACTAGAATTTAAGAATCTCTCAAAGTCTCATACTGTGTCTTATTTTATACGCTTTTTAAATAATTTTAAGATATAAATGCACACTTCTTCGTCATTATGCATTTGACAACACAAAATATACTTTATATCCACATTTCGACCTGCGTTACTTCAGCTACAAATAAGTCGATTAAATAATATACTTTTAAAATATGATGTATAATACAAACTAAATAATAAATAATATTAGAGAAAGCCACATTATATACTCGGAGTTTCCTGTTGTATACAAATATATTTACTGCCGTCATGATCTAGAGAGCGTAAAATTATATTCAGTTATGCACTTCCAAGAGAACTTCAAACTCGTTGATTTTATAATAATATTTATTTTACTTAATAAGTGAGATAATCCCTGATGAGATAAAACGCATGCGTAAAGGCAAACCTCTCTAGTTAGAGCAGGGCCGTCTGGGCACACCAAGATTCGGGGCCCTTTACCAATGATTTTTTTACGTAACCCTACACTAGGTTTTACTCCTTTAGCGTACGGCGCGTCGCGTTCCGCGCGCGCCTCAAGGAGCCATCAGACCACCACAGATGGGGCCTAACAGGGCTGATGCCGATACGGAGCCGCGGAAGACTTAACGGGTTGCCGGGGCTCCGGCTCGAAGTGCAGGAATAGGAACGACGGGGTGGTTTTAGTCAGTAAGAGTCTGACACTCCCTCTTGCCTCACCCGGGCGGGAGAAGTCAATGGATGATTTTCCGCCCTCATAAAAAAAAACATTTTACTCTTCTCGTGGGTGTGTTTACAAACACATGACGCCCAGACCCGCAACCACAATTTGTGAATCAGACGAAGATACACGATGCCGCCGCGCAACGTGTAGGTAGTGGGTGTGTGTCCGTCGTGGAAAATAGTCCCCCTGAGGATGGGGGCCGTGGGCACGGGCCCCGAGTGCCCTTATGGTAAAGACGGATCAGTAATCAACTACTTATATGTTACCACGAGCTGGCGATGATGAAAAAGTAGTATAAGTTTGGTGTGTCGTTACACGTCGCAGCAATGTTATTCTTGTTATCGGTTTGGCAACACTAACTACACATAAAAATAAAAATATATATTGTAAAAGTAATAGGTTAGCATATATGCAAACTGTTATACATTAGATATGCCATATGGTATTTTAATAAATAATTTTTTTTATAAAGAGTTATAGAGAGATTTGATTCTTTGCGTGGTACAGCTTCGTAACTACTGGACCGATTTTCAAAACTCCTTCACGGTTATAAAGTTTACTTTACAGGGCATAACATAGGCTTAACTTTAACTTTCATCTCAATATTCCTACAGGATTGAGCCTACTCGAGAGAAATCTCCCATTACCCACGTTAACAAAGCTAAAGACAAAGTTAATGTTCAACATAATATGTAACGTACGACAAAATCATATGATCTCAAGTCCAGTTTACAACTGTTATAATTCAAGCACATTCTCTTTATTCCTTCTCTCCACCTTTTCCTAACTCGGTCGAGGTCAGCCCAGTCACTGTCAGTAGACTCAGCTGAATGTCAATATTTCACGTCTAGTCGACTGTCATCTGTCATATTAGGAGCCCGAACTAGCACGTAGAATGCTGACATTTTGTTCGGTCATCAAAATGTCTAGTCTAGTTTTTAGGAACTAACACGCGAATGGCTAGTCAGACAGGCTGTCTAGACGTAGGACCTTATTCGTAAAATGTTAGGATGACGTAAAAACTTTATGGTCGGCTTTGTTACTGTGGAAGGTCCCACGACCTTTTCACTTCGTGCAAATAGAGAATAAACAACATTACTGTAGTTAAGTATTAAGCAGGATAAATATAAACTAAGTAAATATAATTAGAAACTCTTTTGTTTGGAACTTTGTGGATGGCATTAACAGAAAGCCGACAGAAAACTGTCGAACGCAAATCCTCCGTTAACTTAGGTCACTGGCGCCCCTGCGGCGGTTAAAATGTTTAAAGAATTATGTTCAAGATTTAGCGATTGGTATCATCATTTTCACTATGATCATCTGTTACCAAATTACGAAGTTTAACACCATACAACTTTCAGGAAACGTATACCAAGTTAATATCCAGGTCTATTTATTCTTTATGTATAAAACATAACTTATTTACTATGCATGTTCTATATTATCATATCAGGTATTGATAATAATATCGTCTGTATTTAAATTGCCACATATTCATACAAATAGTAATAATATTATAATTTTATCTTAGAGAACTTAATTATCTAGCCTACAAGGTTTGATATGGATCCTTAAATGCTAAACTAGTATTATTTTTTTATTGGTAATCCGTAGACTCTTGCCAGCTATCTCGCCTGGTGGAAAGCGACACGAAGCGGCCTACGATGGAGCACGCCTGCCCGTAAGCAACCAATTCTACAGTCTTATTTTCATCACAGTAGTACTGACATGGTCATAGTATGAAACAGTTGACAACTACACTATCGTCATGGTAGGCAAAGTGACACTGAAATATGACTGAAGCAGGTTGTCTGTCCGTCAAGTCATCAACTCATCAATGGTGCCAGAGTAAAGACAGCCTGTACGAAGTATGAATACATGCTCAGTTGCCGTTCAAAGAAAAATATATGACAAGAAAATATCGAGATGTCATTCTTAATGTCATTCTAATGACGAGTAACATGTTCAACAGAGTCGTTACAAAATAGTCATAATTGGATTTGTTTTACAGGTGTCATCTCTGACGCCTCTCGACCTTCTTTTCCAAAAATGCAAATCGTTCACTATCCATTGACGTCATCACTACAGGGACCTATTTACTTGGTCAAGGGTCCTACCATTGACTGGTAAACTTCTAACAGAAGCATAGTTCATTGAATATTGGTCAGCGAAGAAACCTTTTCCAGTACACAAAAGAAATAAGCTTTAAGACTTACCTTGGCACACAAATAGAGTGATAGATCCCATAGTTCCGTAACACGTGAATAAATTCTGGCAGCGTCCGACAGGCGCCCATGATGCTAAATGCTGCTAGTGAACAATTCCATATCATTAACGTCCGCCGTAACTCGAATCTGTGGACAATAGAAAGAATACTTTAAATAGTTTATATTAAAAATTTCGTGACACATACTAAATTTTGTGTTTTCGGGTGCTAGGAGCAGCGCGACAGTCACCGCGTCGCGTGTCGCGGAATTGCTGCTCATGAATATGAGCCTCTAGCATAGCTTGAAACTAGTCGAGTTCCTCGTCAAACAGTTACGTGAGTAAGCAGAAAACATAATACATTAAATAGTTGTTAAGACAATATATACACAAACAGAAACTTGAATATAACTAAAGTGAATTTCTCAGTGTGACTACATAAAAATTAGCTCAGCCACATACATTTATCAGCAAATAAGTGAATATTTGGAAGTTCAGACGTTTTAATAAGAGCCATACTTTTGTAACTTAATCTTGTAAAACACCCTATATTACATTCACATCACGAACATTCCCTACATAACATACACGTCGTGAAAAAGTAACCCTCAAGAAACACTCGGGTACAAAACGGACGTAGTACTAAACAAATCTAAGCGAAAGAGACAACCCTAGCTGACTCGAACCATAATTCAATGTTAATTTACGTAATTAATTGTACATTTTTCACAGAAAACAATTACATAGAAAAAGAAATAATTTATTAGTTATCTTGTTTGATTTATCTCAGGGAAATCTTGTTAGAGACCTTGAGCAAGGGCAGGTTTTTTAAACGGACGTTAATCAAAGGTTGAGGCAAACAAGAAGTAGCAAGAATTACGACATAATATTAATCCATGTAATTATAATATTTTTTATGTTTCACGAACAAATTATTATAATTATAACTTTAATAATTGGGTCCTTTGAACCAACTGATCTGAAGATGAGAAAAAATGATTAAATCTGTCAGTCTGTCAGTCAGTCATTCTGTTGTGGATTTCAACAGAATTTTGATATTAAACCTTAAAATGCCTGTCGGATACAATTCATTCATTGCAGAGACAACAGCTATCTAATAAAACTTTGTTACGTATTTTCATTATCATTTACCATCAGACGACCCGTAAACTCTGTTGCTATGTAGGTAAGTAAGTATTGAAGAAATAGAAAATAGGATTTAATTGTCAACAAAAAAAAAACATAGAACAACATAGAAACATACATTTTATCCTATTTTTTTACTACATTTGTATATTACATCGTCGTCAGACCTATATTTAGTATTATTTAGTAAAACAATATCGATAAATAAGGCTTTAAGAGACCATTAGGGTGATAAATTATAACAAAGCGGTCTAAGATTAAACGCAGTGGTACCATAAATGTGTCGGCTGATAAGGCTTGATAGTGTATCTGCTATAAATCGATCACTATGCGGGTTTTCGGAACTACGAGTTATAAGGTAAATAGCGAACAATTCAAAAAATCCCTTACGAAACTGATGTAGACACAATGGGATTAACTCTTTAGTATAGTGGGCTACAGTTCAAGATCAAAGAATCAAAATTGCATTAAAATTTAGTAAATATTAATGCAATTTTACTTTTGACATGCATGAATACTGAAATATGTAACTTATATGAAGTCATCCTCGTACCCACGTGTAAGGGACACCGGGGTGGGTTTTAGTCAGTAAGAGTGGCAGTCCCTTTCGTTCTCCCCAGGCGAGGGGGGCTCCACAAGGATTTCCCACATTGGGGTCAAAAAACAATATACCTATGTATGAAATACTAATTACAACACCGGTAATTAAGTTAATATTGTTGAATAATATTATCGTCCAAACACGTGTTAGGAGTTTAGGACATAAATTTCACGGAACATAACGTGTTAATTACGATAACCAGCAAAATGATAATGTTATACTACGGCGAAGATATAATACGCTGTGATTTATTTCGCATTTTTTTAAATTACACATAAATAAATGAAGTGCGAACAGAGTATTCAATCTTACACCAATATTACTAAATAAATTGCGAACAAAGTATTCAATCTTACACCATTAAACAATATATTTTAAACTTTATTCTTTTGCTATAAAGCCGAGTATCGATTTGACAGATTATGTATATTTGCAATCTATTTGTGTTGGGTCTTTGGGACCCCAAGCAACATTATTGTCGTCATAAAAAGTACATTAGCGGCCGAAATATTAAATTGATTTTTCGTAATAAAGTTTTTTCGTGAAGACGTGATTAATATTAACGATTGAGTTAAAGATGATTAGAATAAATTGTCAAAAGAAGTATAGGTAGATAATTAATATTTTTGAAATGCGTAAATACAAAAAAAATATCGAAAAGTTGCCATAGGCTCTTCTCGAAATACAACATTTTTGTCAGTGTGGACTTACGTAAATGAATATTTTGTGTAAAAAAAAATGCTAGTTTTATCGAGTTTTGATCATTATAAAACACGTTTAATTTATTCTATGGCGATAATAATATGCTATTAAACAACAACTTTTTAACCACGGTCACTTTTTAAAGTAGTAGATTGCTTATAAAGAAGAATTGTGTTATGAAACAGAAAGTGTTTTTGATAGGAAAATGGAATAAGGAGATCCCAAATGTTTGTGCTGCTGACCCCAAGTAGCTTAGTATAATAGCAAGAAAAATAAATTAAAATTTATATAATTGAGAGAAAATGTAATATTTTCTTATACTTAATACCATATCCGGCCTCTTTTTGACCACGGTCACTTTTTAAAGGTGCGGCTCGATCAAGGATTCGACTCCGTCGGGCAAAGTATTACTAGGTTTTAAAAAAAATCTCAGTGATAGCATGGAGTATGGAATTGTGCCCGGTATATGACAATAGGCTCACCCCCTATTATATGGGGCTCATAACATAAATGGTGAAAAGTAGGTGTTACATTGTACAGTAGCATTAAGTGCCGTAAAACGCACCTCCGCTTACCCCTTCGAGGATAAAAGGCGTGATGTTATGTATGTAAATACAACATATAATATGTAGGTATCTAGTATCTACCTAAGTACCTATTAACCACAATCTAATCTCAACAAACTATGAAAACCGGTGCAAACCAGCCGCTACTAGTAACTAATACAATCTAAAGTCAATATGTCAAAATCTATTTGACATATTGACGTGTATCAGCCACGATAGCGTCTAATTCCCTTGTTTGTTTATCAAGTACATATAATTACAATTAATTATTTAAAGATACAGTACAATGATTAGTACTGGCCATCGTACATTGATTGATAAAACTCGATGACGAAGTACGGGTCATCGATTTATGATGTTGACTGAATATAACGTGGAAACGCTAGACGAAAATAGACTTTAAGTGAAGGAAATTAAGGTGTCAACTGAATAGAATTAGTATGGATGGGCAAGGTTTTTGATCTTTGATTTTGACTAGCAGACATTGACACTGAAATTACGAGAAAAAATATTTAAATTGACAAACTTAAATAGGTATGTTAGACTATTTTAATTGTCTATTTTAAGATTCTTAATCCCGACAATTTTATTTTGAAAGTCGTATTTATCAAAGACGTCCAATCAGTGCTATGGTATGCGGAAACTTGATGTATTCGTTTTCATTCGTATAACAAACAATTGACTGTGTAGCTGTGAACGTACTTTTGGGAATATTAATTCTGCGGCTATTTACGTCGGAATGTTTAATTAAAACCTTTTTAAAGAAATTGTATTTTGATGTCATTCTACAACCTTTATTGCATTAATATTGTTTGCAACGAAGATAAGAAGTCATAATATGGTATGGGCAGAGTAGATTACATTGTCATAAGCCCTAGTCTTCCCGCAGGTATCGCAATAGTACCTAACGACAGCACGATGAATCCAACTTACACGCAATTTTTTGTTTAAAAAAAACAAAAAATTGCGTGTAAGTTGCAAATCATCGAGCCGGAGTTCCGGCAACCCGTTAAGTCCTCCGCGGCTCCGTATCGTCATCAGCCCTGTTGGGCCCAATCCGTGGTGGGCTGATGGCTCTTTGACGCGCCGTACGCTCGGAAACTTACACGTATGTAACTACACATTAGACAGAGACAAATCAGCAGTGCTCTCTGATAAACCTGAACCTATGGACTTGTGTTCGCCGTTTACCAAGCACGAAGAATATGGAAAACCCACTTATGTAGATGAGGCTCATAGACCAGCAGTGGACCGACCAAACTATTGATAATAAGATAACTAGGTCGGCGTTTCAATGAAAGTATATGATTCTTTTCAGATTTGGCACTTCTTCAATTTTTCATTCCACTTGTATTTAGATACAAAATTAGTCATAAAATCATCTTACGTAGGTGTCATCACATGAGCAAATGTCAATTTGATTTTGTGTACATAAAGTTTTTTAGTACTAAATAGCAATATGGAAATGAGCAATTTTATTGTACTTTGTATAAAGTGTTACTGCGAATATTTTTAAACCTACTGAGGTAGGTTATATGTATTGCAGAACAATAGACAAACAATGAATATGTTGACCCACGATTTGTACATGGTTCACTTATATTTAAATAATATTATTTGCTTTATAATACTCCATTATGAAACTTTATTACTCTGTGCAACGAAGTAAAAAAAATCAACCATTTTTTTCTTTTTTCTGACCTGTCAGTGTATTCCTTTTTTAAAACGATTTTTTTAAATAATGTAGTGCCTCTAACTGTTTTCGACCAGTTGAAAGTGTTCTATTTTTAAAACGTCATTCTACTTTCGTTAAATTCGCACGATCACTCGCAATGAAATTGGCAAAAAAGTTCAGACGAAAGAAATAGCAAAGACAAGACTTTCACATTTACGTTACAGAATTGTGGTGTCATTTAAAAATGTGAGAAAACTCTGTGTAACATTTCAATTATAATGTAGCACTTTTCTCATCTAAATCTATGAAGCATCATAAAGTTGGAGAATTTGTGCACTTGTCTTAGAAACTAAACGAATTCAAATCGAAAAAAATATTTGTTAGTCAAAATATAAAAAAAAAATAAATCATTTGTTTCAATTAGACTAAGCAGGCACTTTTGAACGTCAAATCAAAACA